CAAACAAAACCCTAACTATCCAGCTACAATTTAGTGAATAAATCGATAAAATAAACAAGACGGTATTGAAATAAATTGAAATCAAAGTAGTATAGCCATATTTTAGCCGCCCTGTACTTTTAATTAAAATGCACGTGAATTACAGATTAAAATCACGATATAAAAATTTGTTAATTAATTTAAGTAACAAACGTATGGACAAAGCATTAAAAATAAACTGATAATATAAATCATTTGAACAAATAATGTTTAAAATTTTATTATAACCAATGCTTTAATCATTGAATACACATCGAGAGGAATAATTTGTTTCAAAATATTTCAAAATATTTCAAAATATTTCAGATTTAAATATTCATTTGGTTTTGCAATACATAATGACGGCGTTCGCAAAGTACGTACGCAACTATGGGGGGAGTGGGTCATGTCATTTAATAAATATTCAACACATAGATGATCAGATCAATGTGTAATTTGTTAAATTGATTATCTGTCTAATTATTCGGTTAGTTAAAATATTTACCGTTTTTGGAGGGGAGGGGAGGGAATGTTTGCTAAAGCGTATGGACGCACGAGGGAAGGGGTAGTTAATATGTGTACGATGTGCAACTAGTGGGGAGGGTGGTCGATTTTTGGCAAAATTTTTGCGTACGTACGTTGCGAACGCCGCTTAATGATAATTGATAAATAAAACTATTGCATCAATGAATTAACAATTAGCAATAAATTATTATTATTAACGCCTTTCCACTCTCAGTTCCACTGATTTCGGCGTTTTTAGACCACCGGAAAAACCAAACTCTAAGGGTTTCTAGAAATAACAAATATAATTTAGCATACTATATTTATACTAAATTACTATTTCAACACACCTCGGTGGTATGAAATACGTAGCGATGAACCAGACTGACCAGGGCCAACTTGATCTCCAACTGAGCCAATCGCATGCCCAGACAGTTTCGAGGGCCGGCGCCGAACGGCAAATACGTGTAGGGATTGTGGGCTATGTTTTCGGCCAAAAACCTTTCCGGTCTAAACAACTCGGGATCCGTGAAGTAATCCGGGTCTCTATGCATGGCATAGATAGGGATATGGACAATGTGATCCTTTTTGATGGTAATACCGGTGCCCCTGAGCTCGTAGTCCTCGTTGGCAACCCGTTCGACGAATATGGCTCCGGGATATAGGCGTTGGGTTTCGGCAATGACTGCCTCCAAGTATTTCATTGACATTAATGTCTCGTATGAATCGGCACCGGATTTCTGGTAATATTCATATAAGATATTAAAATAATGTTTTAGAATAAATTTATATTAGTTGTTCATGGTAACATTTAATTTAAACAATGTATTATACTGTTTGCTTTGTTGTAAAATATTGTTTTGTATAAATTCTAAAAACTAAAAAATATACGATAATTAATTTATTTATTTATTTATGATCAAATTTAATACTACTGTTAATTCAACGTGATGTTTATAAAACCAATTGCAACTAATTTGTAAGTTAATTAATAATTTAAATTTACGAACTGTACTTTAGAATCAACTTGATTATAATTTAAAATACATAATTGGGTAAAACTGATGAGAGAAAAATGAAAAATTATATAATTTTTGACAAACCTTGTTTCCATGAAATGTCTGTATTTCTTGGTATAACTTTTGCTGCACTTCCGGGTGTTTGGCAATAGTGTAGAGACATAGGGATAGTGTGGTGGCAGTGGTCTCATACCCGGCCATAAAAAACAACACACATTGGGCTATGACCTCATCGTAGGAAAGGCCTATAAAATTGATAATAAATTGATTAATAAATTTCATTAATTCAAAAAAAGCATTAATTTATTTATTACTCACTTTTATCAATCATATCATCCGTGGGCTGTATTTCCCTATACTTCTCATCACTTTTACTGTCCGTATAGTCTTCCGAATCATTAATAGTTTTCTTATTATCTTTCATTGAATCCAACATAAGTTGCAAAAAGTCCACCCTTTTTACGGGACTCCCGTTCCCCTCATCCCGTTTCCTATCATCGATTAGATTAAGCGTAAAATTGCGATAAAATTCCGCAACCTTTTGATCAAACGGCGATAGATTCAACATTTTTGCCACACTTGGGGCAAAAAGTAAGAGCGTGAATTTGACCATGGTCCAGAAATTAGTGCTAAACAATTTGCGCGCATTTTCTATGATAGGATTTTTCGGGTCGTCCAGAGCCGACACTTTGCGGCCAAACGCCACTTGTATTATAGACTCCATAGAGAAAGCGCCGGCAATCGGTTTCACGTCTACCGGTGCCGCGAGTTTGGCGCCGCTTTTGGCGATAAGTTTGTCGAAGTTGTCGGTCATTGTGTCGACGCATTCCCGTATCAAAGGAGTCATTTTGCCGAGCTTTCCGGTCGTGAAAGTCGGCGACATAACCGCCCGAATCCGCTTCCACTCCGAGTCCCGCGCCATGAAAACCATGTTTTCAAACATGGGGTCACCGGTAGTGAACTCCTATAATATAATATGACTATTTATTTGTATAATGAAACAGTAATTATAATTAGTATAGTTTAACTAAATATTAATTATGAACACTGAACATGTATAATAATTATTCTGACCAGACGTCCAGTTTTGCACCGGATTGTCCAGTTTTGGGTCTCTCTGTCCGGTTTGTCATAAGAAATTTACTATTGAAAGGATATGAGTGTCTAATCATAAGAATATAATTGTTTTAATTTGGACTGTTTTTATACAAATGTCCAGTTTTAAGCTTTGTAACATAAATTATATTGCTCAGAAATTTCAATTATATTTTTGAATGACCTTAACATTAAACCTGTATTTAATTTACAGATTTATTTAATCTTTTAGTAAACAAACATAATTAAAATAATTAGTATCTGAAGTTTTGTTTTAACATTATTTTTACTTTAAGTAATGAATATTAAATAAAATTTAGAGAAAGAGAGAGAGAGAGAGAGTCGACTCACCCGTCGGTTATTAAATACATGAAAATCTTTGACCAAAACATCGCGAATCAAATCGGGATCCGAGAGATAGAGAACCGGTTTTCCCAACTCATAGACACCGAAACACTTGCCGTTCCGGACGTAGAGATCCCGTTCCCAATCGTACCACTGTTTGGTGAGTCGTGTGTATAGACCGACACTGTCTGTCCGCACCCCTTGTTTCTCCCAATAATCGCATTTCCGCTTAAAATATCTGTTCAATTGATTGTAAATATAATTCTTATTAATTTTAATACTATTATAAAAATAAATGAGAATTATATTTCAAAAACACTTTATATTATTCAAAGCTATATATTATACGGTATATAATAAAAAACTCTAATAACTCTTAACAAGGATAATTTTTAAATAATAGTTTAAAATAAATAAATTCTTGAATAATTTTGCTAAATAATAATTCCACCGATTACATGACTATTTCAATAACTATACTAGGTATAATTATTAAATTAGAGTTTGAAATAGTTAATTTGCTAAAACATTTTATGATATATAGCCAAGTTAGATTTTATGCAATAAATTATAATTATACTGAATTTATTTTAACTAAACTTGCACAGTTATATAGACACTACAATATACAGTATATGTATAATGTTTTATTAATATTATTTTTTAAATTATTATAATTTTTAGTTTTTAACTGGCTTACTTTAAAATCAAATACAATGTAATACCAAAAATAGCTATAGAAATTATTGTCCATTTTATAACCTGAGTTTCAAATATTGTTTGCAGTATTGATAACATTTTTTATAAAAGTTGAATTAACTTTTAATTTTTCAAATTAATAATTTCAAACTTATTTTCACTTAAATTTACAAATTTTCATACTTTGAAAATATTTATATACATGTTTGACTGTATTTATATGGCTTATAATGCGCATTAAATCACCACTGTCAATCATAATAAACAAATAATATTTGATAAAAAATTATGCAATTACAAAATAATACAGCGTTGACAAGTGAATGTTGTATTAAATGTTATGTTTTCAACACTAAATATATATAAACTTCAAGGCCAATTTAATAACACGGCATATTTATGTGCAACCAGTTTATTTCGTGCATTGTGATATTGCTGGTTTATATTAATGTATTCAATAATTATGATCTAGTAAATTTTAGAATATCTAAATTAGGTAAAACACAAATAATAATAAAAAATTTTTAGATAAAAGTTTTTAAAAATTATATAATATGAATTATAAAGAATTATAATAACTAATTTTTAAAAATCGATATAAATATAGAAATCATTATTTACACATGTGAAAGTTTTAAAATTAATTTTACAAAATAAGTATTTAGAAATTGAAACATTTATTCAGATTAAACTTTAATTTTTTATATTTAATCAGTGAATCATAACTTCGATATTCATTTCAATTATTATAAATAAGTTATTATAATTCTTTAACATTCATATGACATTATTACAAATATAATATCAATATATAAATCAATATATATATCAATATATATATATATATATATATATAAGTAAAGGTCCTGTAAGAGCAACTCGTATTTACCAGAAAA